AATCTATTGGTTAATGAAGTGAGTTGAGAATTATGAGATCTCAAAGATTTAAATTTTATGAAGGTAAAAACACTAGTTATTTTTTTTTCCATATGTTCAAATTACGTGTGCTAGTGAGAGAGAACATGTACTTGTGAAATGAGAAAGACAAAATTATTAGGCAATTATGAAATAGAATCACCTGATTTTTATGTTAGTGCCAAGAGTTCGTACCGCATGAAATTAGTTAAGCTGACCTGTATGATATGATTATATACTATATATATATTAAAAAGAAAGAAGAAAATATAGCTATATAAAATAGAAAAAAAAAGAAAATAGGATTTGATAATTATATTTTTCATTTACCCCTTTTGTGGAAATAGAGAGAGACAAGCTTAGTCGAAGCGCCACCATAATAGACTATGGATGACTATAAAAAGAGACTGTTGAATGAAGCGCGAAAATGGCAGTTAGGATAATATTGGCGGAGAAAGAGGGTCAGATGAGTCAATAATTTGGAAACCCTAGTCCTATGTAGCTTCTAGAAACTCCATTTGCTAAAAATACTCACTCAGCTTCTTTGAAAAAATATTACTACTTTCTGCTCTCCTCAGAGGTGGGAACGAAACCTCTCGCTCTCTCTCAGGTATCGTTTTTCACTCTCTCTCTCTACACGTAGCAACACCTATACTGTGTGTAAATATTGCTAATATGAATTTTGTGTGCTTGTCAACTTTATCGGATCAGTAGATCAGTTGATCCTCAAGTTCATCTAGCTTAGAATTTTGTTAGGAAAAGTTGATTATTGATGTCTTAGTGCGCAATTGTGATTTGCTGTGTTGTTGTATGATTGATGGATCATAGTTATCCCGTTGGCGATTGGTTGTTTATTGAGTGAGTTATATAGTTTTGTTCAGAACAGTTGAGATCATTTCTCATTTGCTTTTTCTATGATTAGTTTTGAGGTTTGATACTTCTGATTTGAGTTTGAATTTGTAAAATGAAAATAGATTTGTTTTTATCGATGGTATTGGTACATATCTTGGTTGTTTATGTATAATCTGCATGTTGAGGTGACGTTTGGTGTTAAATTACTACATGTCTATCTATTAGGATAGAAGGTTAGTAGGTAACATTGTGTTTTCTTGCTGTTCGTTCATTATTAATAGATGTAGTATTGCTTCTGTAGTATCTTGATCTTCGATTATTGTTACTATATGTTGTTTCTTGTACCTTGATCAATTGTATTGTTTTGTTGTAGTTTCCGTTTTGTTACTATCTGGTGTTTCTTGTACTTCCGTTACTTCTCTTTTTGGATTGTTTTTCTTGAGTTGAGGATCTATCGAAAACAACCACTCTAACTCTGAGGTAGAGATAAGGTCTTCGTACAATCTACTCTCCCCAGATCCCATTTTGTAGGACTACGCTGGGTATGTTGTTATTGTTGTAGTCCCTTGTTTCTCCTGTCCAAAGTATTTACCTGATTCCTTTGTTGATTTCTGTCAATACACAGTAATTGTCAAATAGCTATTTTTAAGTGTGTTCGTGTTGAATTGTTTGGTAAATATTCTATTGTGTTTGCTTAGATTTCCTATTTTGTCCCAATGTCTGTGAGGATGTGCTTTTATTGGTAGGGGTTTGACTGCTTAGTGATTGAATTTCTGTATTCCAGTTTTTGAACTGAAAACTCCACATTGTAGCTTAATTATTGGGTTCCTTGCTTATAGGAAGCTTCCCTACTCCACTTATTTGTACTTTTAAGAATACTTCAGTCACTATGTCTCTTCTTTGCAGATCACCGTGTTGATTTACAAACATGGGGGATGGTCCAGCTCCTCCTACTGCATTTCAGAAAATACATGGGCATTCACACCTGTTCTCTCGAATATCTCCCCACACGCATTCTAAGTATGCTGGTTCATACAACATGACTGGTGGATATGTCAATGAAGTACTAGGGGGTGCTTGCATGACGAATTGCCAAGCCGCTAATCTGAAAGTCCGTCAATTAGGCATTCCTATTCTCATACAGGCCCCATCTGAAGAGAAGAAAGCTAACAGTTTCGTCGTGGATTTTCTCATGGGAGGGGTTTCTGCCGCAGTGTCTAAGACAGCTGCAGCTCCAATAGAGAGAGTCAAGCTTTTGATTCAGAATCAGGATGAGATGATAAAGGCTGGTAGACTTTCTGAACCTTTTAAAGGGATTTCAGACTGCTTTGGCAGAACTATCAAGGATGAAGGCGTCCTTGCTCTTTGGAGAGGCAATACTGCAAATGTCATCAGATATTTCCCCACTCAGGTTAACTGACCTTACTTTCTCTTGGTTGCCTACTATTCAGTGTCTACAATTTAGTTTGCTAGTTAACTTTTTCATCACACTTAGGGAGCACTCCTCCGCTTTGTGATCCCTTTTTAGTCCAAAGTCTGTTGTTATTTACCTACAAGGCTGTCTTTAAGATAATACTACAACAAAACATTGAACATGTGAACTGATTTTTCCATCATTACTTCTATCATTTGACTTTTATAGTTGTAATGACTTTGAGACCTCATGATCTCTCTAAGGATGTGCGTTGTTGGTTTGTATCTTAACTATCTTCATGGTGGCTGGTAAACCTTATTGTGTCCACCAAGGGTAAGCCCTGGATGTGAATACATTTTGCAATCATTTCAAAAATGATTTGATCTATTTGTTATAATGATTTTGCTGAAACTTTATGCATCTCTCCAGTGATATGCATTGCAATAAAATCTAAGAAGAGGATAACTTGAGAGTATTCGGTACATTTGAGTAGTTTATAAACAATTACATGGCCATCACTACATCATCTTGTATCCTTAGGGATCATTAATTCCTGCAATTTTTTATTATTTAAATTTTTCTTTATATTGTTACACTTTATAAATATCTCTAGTGATATGCACTGCTAAATAAGGAATAAAGAAGAGGACTTGGAAAGTAGTGTAGGTACATTTGAGTAGTTAAATTTGTGGTCACTATTGCAGCATTTTTCGTCGTTCAGATTCATTAATTCCTGAATTTGTTTTTTGCAGGCCTTGAATTTCGCTTTTAAAGATTACTTTAAAAGACTGTTTAATTTCAAGAAAGACAGGGATGGCTACTGGAAGTGGTTTGCAGGAAACTTGGCATCTGGTGGTGCAGCTGGTGCCTCATCTCTTTTGTTTGTGTATTCTTTGGATTATGCAAGAACACGCCTTGCTAATGATAATAAGGCTTCAAAAAAGGGTGGTGAGAGGCAGTTTAATGGTTTGGTTGACGTTTATAGGAAAACTCTCAAATCAGATGGTATTGGTGGGCTTTACCGTGGATTCACCATCTCATGTGTGGGAATCATTGTTTACCGTGGTCTGTATTTTGGAATGTACGATTCACTTAAACCAGTACTTCTAGTTGGTGACATGCAGGTATCGGAAATCCTAATTCTGGTTCAATTTTCTCATTATTTTGTAAATTGATACTTTAAGCACTCTTATCCCATATGCTGGATTTTTTTGTCCTTCTGACATGCGTGCTGCACCCCACAACTTCACCAAATATTCTGTTGCTTCTCCTCCCTTTCGTCAATGATTTATTATGCATATGTAGAAGTTTATCGTTTGAGATATGATTACATGTTTTTCAAATTTTGGTGATTCAACACAGGCAGGTTATACTCTTGAATTAACCATTTCACTACATGCCTATGACTTGTGTGTGATCAGTCCCTCATCTGTTGGGTCATACCGTCAACATTTAGAACTGAAGGATGGATTTGCCATCTCTATTTCTATAAACTTGAGTTTCCGTGTCCATTATGTGGCTGGTATAACACTACTGCAATATTCTGTTTTTTTTTTACAGGATAGTTTTTTTGCGAGTTTCTTGTTGGGATGGGGTATCACTATTGGTGCTGGTTTGGCTTCTTACCCAATTGATACAGTGCGTAGAAGAATGATGATGACTTCTGGAGAAGCAGTCAAGTACAAGGGTTCAATGGATGCATTTTCTCAGATTGTTAAGAATGAAGGCACTAAATCCCTCTTCAAAGGTGCTGGAGCAAACATTCTACGTGCTGTTGCTGGTGCAGGTGTTCTAGCCGGGTACGATAAGCTGCAGCTCATTATGTTTGGAAAGAAATATGGGTCAGGTGGCGGTGGCTAATCTAATATGGTGATGAATGATGATGACGAAAACTGTCCTTTGGTTGTGTAGATTTCCTTGGTTGTCCAGTGCTTTTGAATAATTTTCCCTAACTATGTCACACTGGTTGGCATTCTCTTGCAAGTTTATTCTGGAACAGTATTTTCTTGAAGTTTTTCTTGTTTCTATGGAGCTCTGAAACTGCTTCTAGTTATAGTTGTCTTTTATGCAGAAATTGTTATAAAGTTTGCTGAATGATAGTGCATACTGAAATTAAAGCAAGCAAAATGCCAAAAGATTATACAACTCGTATAATACGAGCATTGAGCCATAGGATCTTGGCTGTTCTAGGATAGATGTAATTCACCATTCAACTAGAGAATATAGTTGTTGTTGTACCAGTTAATGCTTTGATGAAAACTCCTCTAGCTGAGGGCTAACCCCAACACAAATTCTTATCACCTTAAAACTTTGTTGAAACAAAGTCATTTGCTTTAACTTCAAGTTAAGATCCTGTCCTTACCTATACTGTGTCCTTATTCAATCCCACTTCAAACAACTGAGAAAGCTACCTGTAAGGAGGGAAGTCTATGTCATTCACATCCTCTTTACTCTCAATTTTATCTGCAAATATCATGATCATTGTTAACGTTGAATTTGCACATCTTGTTGATGGATCTAGAATCCAAGAAATTTCGTACGAACCATCTGATAAAGATGTGAGAACATTGTAAAAAAGACATCATTATGTTGGCTGCTATTTCTTAGAGTAGTTAGGTTGCTGTTATTTCAGTTGTTGTGTAAAATGATGCATTAGTCCTAACAGGAGGTAGTAGTTATATCATTAGCCAGAGGACCTTAAAAAGTATTTGAAAGTGAAAGGATATCTCACCTTACAAAAACCAAGCAGAGGCTGTTGATTAATATGCTTGCATTACTAGTCATTAACAAAAATGGCTTCATTTTCCTTTCCCATTACCACTACTGCCTTTGTTATCTTGCTTCTAAGTCTTACCTCCAATGTGTTCAACAACTCAGCAGCCAAACACAGCCATTCCTCCTCCGTTAAGGGCATAAAAAACCCAAGGCTGCAAAAAGCCTACATTGCTCTCCAAGCTTGGAAACGTGTTATCTACTCTGATCCTAACAACTTCACCTCTACTTGGGTTGGCCCTTCAGTCTGCAACTACACTGGCATATATTGCGCGCCATTCCCTAATAACACCAAACTCCAAGTTGTTGCTGGCATTGATCTGAACCATGCTGATATAGCCGGTTTCCTACCTGAGGAACTCGGTCTTCTCAATGACTTAGCGTTGCTGCACCTAAACAGCAATCGCTTCTGTGGAATCCTCCCACTCTCTTTATCCAACCTCACTCTCTTGCATGAGCTTGATCTCAGTAACAACAGATTCGTAGGACCTTTTCCTAACGTTGTCCTCTCTCTGCCTTCCTTGAAATATCTTGATCTTCGCTACAATGAGTTTGAAGGGCCATTGCCTCCTCCACTCTTTAGCAAAGATCTCGATGCTATTTTCGTTAACAATAACCGTTTAACTAACGTGATCCCTTCAAATTTAGGATCAAGCTCTGCTTCTGTTGTGGTTTTTGCTAATAACTACTTTGGAGGATGCTTACCACCTAGCATAGCCAACTTTGCAAACACCTTAGAAGAATTGCTCCTTACTAATACTAGCTTATCAGGGTGTTTGCCTCCTGAAGTGGGATTTTTATACAAGTTAAAAGTTCTTGATGTGAGCAACAACAAGTTAGCAGGGACAATACCTTATACTATTGCTGGTTTAGCTCACTTGGAGCTACTAAATTTAGCACACAACATGTTTAGTGGAACTGTACCAGAGGGAATATGTGTATTACCTAAGCTCTCAAACTTCACATTCTCTTATAACTATTTCTGTGAGGAGCAAGGTATTTGCAGCAACTTGACATCAAAGGGCATAGTGTACGATGATCGTCGAAATTGTTTGCCAGAGAAGCCTCTTCAGAGAAGCAAGAAGGAATGTGATGCTGTGGATGAGCATCCCATTGACTGTTTAGCATTTCATTGTGGCACTTGATACTGTTTTCATGTGTTGGTTCTACTGAAAATGTGACAAATTAGTACTAGCTTGAGTTTTCCTTGAACTTTTTTTTCAAATTTAGTAGCCAATGTGAAAAAAGAATAAAGTCAATAGCAACTCTGTAAATATGGTGTGTGATTAAGCTTTTCTTATGTTGGTAATTTAACTTTGATGCTGCTATTATGTGTTGTCCCAAAACATGATTCTCATTCTTGAAAAATCTTAATCAAGTTCCTACCTACATAGTGAATTCTTCTGTAATTCCATATTTTTCTTGTACTGTATATTTCATTTAGAATTTAATTTTTATCTGTGGTTGCTTGCATATCAACTAGATGCAATTGTTTATTGCAAATGTGGATTTGTAACATGGAGAAGTTTATTCCATGTTTGGTTGGGATAAAATCGCGGGATAACTTATTCCGAGATTAGTTATCCCGGGATTATCCCATATTGAGGGAATAACAATCCTGGAATAACTTGTTCCCCAACCAACCGATTAGAGCTTTGGTGAGACAAGTTCCTTCCCTCAATATTCCAAATGAGATCTCATTAGTAAATAAGCAAATGAAAAGCCTCAAGTATTCCAAAGTATTACACATAATAATTCTAATTCCAGGTCATTTTTTACCAACACTTGAATTTAGTTTACAATTTCATCACTTATTGGACAAATAAAAACAAATTCTGTAGGAGGAACCCATAGTATTTAGTACAAGAAAATCTGCAAACTGTACACAACTGTTCCTGTGAAAAATCATCACTGCTATCTACCTGTAATTCAACTATGCAAAGGTGCTGATTATAACAACTTGAAATTTACAACTTGCTTTCCCTCCAATATCTCAAAGAAAATGTAATGAAATACAAGAGAAAACAAGAATGTTATCATCTTGAATAAAAACTAGAATGACCATAATGTACATCACAAGAATTGCACACAGCAATCTGGTGTTTCTGCGTTAAAATTTTCATAAAACGTACTTAAGATTTCTCAAGAATGCTCTGATCCACTTCGATACCAACCTGAGGAAAAATACAAAAGCTCAGTCACAACATATTTTTCGTTCTGGATCCAAGGGAAGAAGGAACCTTTCTATCTATAGAGGGAATAATCACAATGATATGCATTTTATAGCCTATTTGGCCAAGCTTCTAGAAAGCCAAATATGCTCATTTTAGAGAATTGAGGCGTTTGGCCAAAGGGAAAAGAAGTACTTCTGAATAGTAGCAGAAGTTGTTTTCAAGAAGCTTAAAAGAAGTTGCTTTTCTCCGGAAGCACTTTTGGGACCTTCATCAAGCATAAATTGTTACTCTAATATTGTAAAAGTGATTTCAAATTGACTAGCTAAATACAAATTGCTACTCTACCCAAAAGTACTTTTTCTGAGAAAATATACTTTTAAAAATAAGCAAATTTTGGAAGCTTGACTAAACAGCCTTTTTTAGTCAGACAACTTGTTTAACTTTTCAATAACTCATGGACACACTGAACTTCCGCATAACTTATGTACGGCGCAAGTGTCCTATTTTATCTTTCTTATGATGGTGGTTTTCGGACCAGCTTACATACATCAACTATTCCACTGGGTATCTGCTCTTACCAACACAGGTATCGGGTAACTCTGTCCACCAAGGCTTGGTAGATGGAAGAAATCACCTAGTATCTTTTGTCTCTACTGGGATTTAAACCCTACGTAGTGTTTAAAATATATGCATGAACAGCCATTTACCTCATTTGACAGGTTGGTGATGTCAGTTGCTCTATATTAACAGGAATTCAAAAAGAAAAACATCTGTTCAGGCTGGAGGAAGAGGACGTCGGCATGTTGGGCACTCCATCTTTATGTCCATCCATCTTTGCAAACAACCCGAATGAAAGAAATGATCACAGGGCGTCACCTGAACATCAGTTGGCACATTATAACCATATGGATTTTTCTTTCCATTAGTAAAATCAAATCATATTTGATAGGAATTCCACATTATAGCGAGAAAAGAGTAATACAAGCGGCATTACCATGCAATTATTTGACCGTTGAGTGAGATCAATAGCAGTCATGCAAATGACACAGTCAGTAGCATGATTTCCTTTCTGGTCAAATCTTCTGTAATAACTATATTTTTCAGGTAAAATCTGCAACACATCATCAAAACTTACATAAGATAGGTCACTACAAAACTAATAGATGATTAAATAGTTCTTTATAAAGAGTATTTTTTTGTCTAAACCATCTACCTTGTATACTAAAATCCGAAAAGATAGGTCAGGGAAAACTTAATATGTGCAGTTGATTTCTCACTTCTAATAACATAATCTATATCATCGAAAATCAAAAGAGCAGAATAAAACCTGTCGTGGAATGAACCACCGAGATCCAAGATAGTGCTGCAAAAGAAGAACTAACGCCTGCACTGCCATGAAAATTCCCAAACAGATGCACCAACTTTTGTCGGGCTCTATGCGCATAAAATTGTGAGGACAACCAAAGACATATAGTGGAATTGCTAGCCGAGTAACAGTCATTCCCAAGATGTAATGAGGATGCAACGGTTTTCTCGAGTCACGAATAACGTTAGTTACAATTTGAGGTATCCAAAAAGAGTGTAAAAGGAAAAGGAGTGGCCGCAGAAACCTATGGAATTCATACATGATTAAAATTCCACCTAAAAGGATCCCATCTGCAAAACAATGTTGGAAAACAAAGAGATATGAGCAGGTTGTCCATGACAATGATACTAATGTCTGACATAAATCAAGTTTGTCACAAGACAGAGGGAGAGAAAAGAACTAATGTAATTGCTTTAGTGTTTCCTTACAAAATTTGCATGACTTTATTCTCTTGTATTACTTCATAGTTCTTTGGCTCACTATGTCTAATGATGTTAGAATGACATAAAGAGAACGTCATAAATCTCTTTTATCCTTGGGCCCTTGGCACCCATCTGAACCAAACCAAGCACTATGTAGTATGTTGAACACGAAAATATTAATTTGTTGCTAAATTTTGCAATCTAAATACTGATTTTTATCTTAAAACCGTTATGTCAGATTAGAAATTACAAATTTTCTGAAGCCCAGTTGAGCACTGAATGAATTATTGAAAATCAGAGGTTACATCCTCCTATGCTAGGTACAGAAATGGAATAGAATCAGGATGTGTTAATACATTAACTTATATCAAAGCAGGTGCGATTATGTCAAAGAAAACTTTTACTGGAAAAACTCAAATGCATTATTTACTCTTCAACATCTAATTTCCCCTTTCCCTTTACTTGAACCATGGGTCTATCGGATTACACTAGGTATGGTGTTGCATCTAATATGCCCTTTCACTAGAGCAATACCCTGCAGCCAGACACGTTCAAGGTACAGACACATATAGCTGATGAGTCAGTTTAATTCTATGCACATGTTCACATTTCAGCAAGGGATACTTACAGAAGCGGCTGTACAGAACTGACAGTTCACGTCTCATTGCTTGCCAGCCCTCTCCACTAGTCATAGGTCTATTTGCCTTCCATATAGCGAGAAGATATCTCATCTCAAATATCGAGAAGACAACAAACTTGAAAAATGCAGCGGTTGCAAAAGCATTGAACAGCGATTCTGTAAAGAATGAGGGGGAGGAGATTTTATTAACAGAGCGCAGAGTCGCTAGAAACAACAAAAAAAGAATATTTTATAGAGAGTCTGTTTAAGGGAAAATATACAAACTTCTAAGAGTTGGTTACGGGGAGGCAAAGCATGACATAGAAATGACTTGATAAAAAGTTACTATCCAATACCATGTTTATCCCTAGAGGGCTACCTCATTGTTACCACTATACAACTTTTAGATAATAAAACCAGCTAAATGTGCTGACTACAATGACTTAGATAATAGCTACCATCAAACTTACCAACAAGTATGCCTGCAGTCAGATGTAGAAGACAAAGATAAGCATCAATTATTCCCTGTTGCCCGATCATCAAAATTGAAACTTTGGCAGCTCCCTGTAAAAAAATTATCAGACATCATTCATTTGATTTGACACATTGCAACAGCAAGATAGTAACATGGGAAGACTTATGTCATTGAATGTAACAGAAAGTCGTATTCTTACTGATTGGGTATTGCTATGTTCCATTTGCCGAATGAGAAGGAGCACTTGAAGAAAAGAAACCTAGGTTTCAAGAAGTTAAGGAATCCACAGAAATGCAGTTCATAGAAGAAAATAACATCAATGAATAACAACTCTTGGAGGATACAAAAGTGACCATCAACGTGTAGTTAACTGCTTTGTTGTAGTAAACCTCTATATTGATAGAAGTGGCATTCAATAGCATGGGGGAGAAACAGTCTCCATCATCATCCACTGAAGGGCTCTCCATCAATCCTTCTAGATGATAATGATCTTGATCTCCATCTGGAAAAAGACAAGTAACTTAAGATAAATCACTTGTTTCCCAAGTATTTCCTCAAACTAAAGGATAAGTTCGAATTTCTATTGATACATGCTACTCGTAAAATCTCCCACGGGTTTGGACCAACTGCATTTTGGCTCATGTACAGCTGTATACTAATTTAAGATCATGATGCATCAATATCTATTGTTTTGCATTATTAGGGCATACACGATGCTCCAAGGAAATGCAACAAAGGCAAAGTTAGAGCTTCTGAAAGGATATGAGAGGAAGTTCTCAACTAACATCAATATGGAAGTTAAAACTACGTTAAAAACTAATAATATCCAATGTAAACATGAACCAGAGACAAACAGAATTAGAGGAAGTTAATAAGCAGTTATCATCAAATGATAGAAAGGAGCAGCATGAATGCAGAATCCAGAGTTTAGTTCAAAATGGTTTTACATAAATGAGGGAGAAAACTGGGCAAAGAGATGAACAAGGTAAAGAAGAAAAATCAAGTACCATTAGTGGAAGATGACACTCGAGAAATTTGTGCTGCAATTTCAACATTACAATGTTTCTCCATCTCATAAATAGGCGCTGCAGGAACAGAGATACAAAGTTTAAGCCATGATTTAAAAAGCTAAATTGGATCAAGGTTGAGTAATCATTATTACAGTGTTTCCGTTTCCAAATCTTATCTCGTGGCGACTCTTGGAAGACCTGAGATGAGAAAGTTCCAAGCTGTGCAGGAAAGGTAAGATAAAGAAAGATATTATCATTTGATAAAAATTGACATTCAATA